TCCAGTATTGTAGTCAAGTCGCTAAACCTTGAATCTGACTCGAGTCTGGAGTCCCCAGTTTTTGAGTTTGAGTCAAGTCTTTGTCACCAAAGAATAATCAGAGTTGAGTCAGAGTCAAGATTTACATTAAACACAATTGACACAGCTGTCAGCATTTTATATTCCAAACTTACTAAATGATGTATTGCATCACCATATTGTTTATCAATCTGATAAAAAAATCATTTAAAGAAAGGCAGAGTGTGCGCTTTGATGGAAGTGCACTGGATACAGTATGGGGCAGGTGAACAGGTTTTAATATCAGTATCTTATGACAAATTATTATGGCCTATTACAAAAAAGTCAGTTTCTAACTGCCCAGCCCGAATGCAGTCAATGCTCAAGTCCATGTCAAGTCAGGAGTCTTGAAAATCTGGACCCGTGTCAGAAGCTTACTACAACACTACCCTCCAGTCAACATTAATTATGTGGTCAAACCAACCAGCTCAAATGAAATTTACCTCCAACCTTTGTTTAATCTCTTCCTCTGGAAAGCAAAAGTAGCTCATCCCATTTTTTAAAAACTCCTGAGCTCGATTTCTTTCACCTTGTGCCTCTCTTTCATAGCATTTACAAAGAAATAAGTAATTTGCTGCAGCGCATGCTCACAGGATTCACATTTAAAGATACTTCAGATCATCTCTTCTCTTCAGCTTCTATATTCATGCTGCTGGTTCAAGGGTATTTTTAGACAACCCAGCAAGGACAATCCGACAGCTGTGAACCACTGCAAATAGTTTCTATATGTTATTAACTGGCCTACAGTGGTGCATGCAGGGCAAAGTCACTGTCTGGTTGTATTTGTGTACACTGACCGCTAATTCACCCCATGTTCTCCTCCATCCAGTGAGTGGCCCCTTGATGACTGTGATATTGGATGAATTTTATTTTTTCTGGTGGTGGGTACAAGACAATCTGCTGCTGCTTTTACTGTCCTGCTGTACTTGTCGAGAAATTGATTTTAGTCTCTGCTGAGCAACAACGCAGAGGCAGGCAGACATGTTGATTAGCTTTCTGCAAAGGCAGACAGGCTCCCAGATCTCATCTCATCCGTAAAAGAAAGGACCATTACATCTGAAACGTATGTGAGAGAGACCTGAATGCCTTAACGTCTGCAGAGAGGAGAGTGAGGGATTATTCACAGAGACAGCTGGAAATAAACAGGTTTAATATAGACTGGGCTGTCAGACAACGATCCATATATACAGTAAATGAAACGTCTGGAGGGCTGCAAGGGTCTGATAAATAGACATACACAGTTACAGATATATGCATAAAATGCACAAACACATTCCCAAGCCACCATGAGTAATCTGTCACAGGCTCAGGGGGGCACACTGTGTTGATACAGTGATTCTACTGTCTGTGCATTTGAATAGAGCTGAAGAATTCCTGCACTGTGGCTGTAGACAGAACCAGTCAGCCAGCTGCTCTGCCCGCCTCCTTCCACTTCTGCCACAATGGCCACCACTGTGCAGCATCAGGATCATGTCAGGCTGCAGAGGTGAGCTGGTTGACGTCCTATTGAGTTGAATTTCCGGCAGATTGATTGATATTTATCTCAGCAAAAGATCAGCTTGTGTGGTCACCTCAGCAGGTTGTAAGATGATTGACAGAAAAGAAGCTTGAAGTTAAAATTTGGGGTTTTCTGCTACTTTAGTAATTGACACAGTACAATAATTGAAATATGGGTAAATTACATTGATTAATTGGTTATTCTTGATTCATCATTTACTTTATAAATAAATCAAAAATGCGTAGAATCCCACAGAGTGCAAGACATTTAAATTAACAATAATAATAATAATAGTTTATTTATATATCACTTTACAACTCGACAGGAGCCCAAAGTGCTTCACAAAAGGACACTAATACAAGACAATAATAAAACAAAAACCTATACAAAACAAACTACAAAGTATTAAAAACCCAAAAATAAAATACATCCCTATCAGAATATAAAACAGCATAAAACAACAGGGAACGAGTTACAAACGAGTTAAGATTAAGACGAGCTAAATACCAAAGGCCTGTCTAAAAAGATGGGTTTTCAGAGTTGACTTAAAAGCTGCCAGCTCAGTTTCGGCCTGAAGCTCTGGCGGTAGGGAGTTCCAAAGCCTGGGGCCATTAAAACAAACTAATATTTTGAAATTAATTCTATACTGTATTGGCAGCCAATGTAGTGAGCGAAGCACAGGGGGGATGTGGGAAAACGTAGGAGTATTTGACAACAAAACTTCCGCAGAAGAGACTGAGAGATTCCAACATAGAGGGCGTTACAATAGTCAAGACGCAAGATAATGAAGGCATGGATGGCTTTTTCTAAATCGGCATACGATAAAAAAGGCTTCACCTTCATTAAGAGCCTCAAATGATAAAAACTGGTTTTAACCACTGATCTGATCTGCTTATCAAAATTAAAATCAGTGTCCAAAATGACTCCAAGGTTCCTCACAGTGCCAGTACATGCAGGTGCTAGGGCACCTAAACTAGGTAACACAATGTGTTCTGTCTTGTCCTCATTTAAGTGCAGAAAATTCTGCGATAGCCAGAGTTTTATGTCACGTATACAATTTTGCAGCAGGATAAGTGCACCACTGTCGCCCAGTGTCAGTGGCACATAAATCTGAATGTCATCCGCATAAAAATGAAAATGAACATTGTGCCTTGATATGACTGAACCAAGTGGAGACATATACAAAGAAAATAGTAGTGGGGCCAAAATCGAGCCTTGGGGAACGCCCGAGGTGAGAGGAGCTATGGTGGAGGAGAAATCGCCAATCATCACAGAGAAGGTCCTATTTGTCAGGTAAGAAGTGAACCATTTTAGAACTGTGCCTCTCAAGCCAATCTGGTGTTCCAGCTGGGAGAGCAAAATTGCATGGTCAAAATTAAGGCAAATGAGGACAAGTTTTCTTGGATATTCTGTGGTGAATTGTTGCAGTTTTGGGTCTGGATGTTTAGCCTTTACCTGCTGCTTGTAAATGTTAGTGAACTCTTCTGTAGTGTGTCCTTTGATTGACCTTGGCCTTTAGGGTTACTGAAACAAAATGACGGTTATAATGTTTCGCTTTTGCTCAAGGTATTGATTCAACAGTATCGTCATTTAAGATGGAGTTTGTGGTGCAGTTGCTTTGCAGTGTGTTATACTTGCATTGCGTTTTGTGCCCACCCCATTTATGTCAGTGTGAGTAGGCTAAATAACCTTTGTGGCTTATTCCAGGACTATTGTACTAGACTGTGTAGTTTTTACAAGGTGGCATCTAATTATTCTTGATGTACTGCAGGACAGTTAAAATTGTAATTTTTTTAAAGATTGATTTTGTTAAGCCTCAGTCCTTGCTTTTGTTCTGGCTGGGAAAGTAGCAGTTTTAGCACTTTTTCCAGCAAAGAAACGATCTTTACCTCCTCTGGGTGACAGGATCAGCTAAATGCTTGAAATGTAGATGGAGGGATGCTGTCTGCAACGTGATGGACGAGGCAGGTAGACAGAGATAAATGAAGACAAACACAGACAGATATGGACAGAGGCAGACAGAGAGCAACCCAGGGAAACGGCTGAACTCCGCACAGCCACAGTGGGGCTGGTGACAAGCAGACTGTTTCTCCCTGCTTGGCTGCTTTAATGAGAGTCGGTGAACTCATTCATCAGGACAAACAAATCACTGGGACAAACCTCAGCATGCATCTGCAGACACAAGTACACTCTAACACTGCTCCCTGCTGGAAAATCTATAGTTCTGCATGGGTCTTGGAATAGGAATAAAACTGCACACCTATAAAAACTGAAGGCTCTCTCTATCTCTCTGCTTCTGCTGGGAGGTCAGTGGGTCATGGAGAAAAGAAAAAAGAGCATCACAGACTCACACTGAGGCAAAAAAAAACACAGGCAGACTGTGTCCACATTCATGATTGAGTCCACTGCTCGTGTTTTTTCCCCTCTGAATGAGTTTTTCCCCCAACAATTCAGCAGAAGTGATGAGCAGCAACCAGCCAGATGCTTCATGAAACCCGACTCATTATTCTGAATGCTGTTATGTTATCTACAAGCTGTTCTTTATCAGAGAATGGGATGAGAAAACGTTCATATCTAAGCGCCATAGTGACTTTAACAGTGCTGGCAAAATGGGAAGGGAACTGTGTAGTTTATAGCACTACAGTGTGAAGCTATGAGGTTCAGTTACTGAAACAATTCAGATTACAAAATCACTTTAGTGCGTAGTAAATATAAACAGTGTGGAACATATAGTGTAGGAAAAGGGGCTGACATAAGTATTTTTTCTTAATGCTATTAATCTGTTGTATTTTTAAAGTAACTTTGTATTATTTAGGGGCAAAGGTTAACTGTGGATCACACCTCAGCCTTTTATTGTGTATGTACTGTAGTTGTAACTCAGTTTGTATAATGGTGAAACAATTACAAGTCTTGTAAACTCCAATGTCATTGTATTAGGTACACCAAATTAAAGCTAATGCAGTCTACACAGTCCTGCAGTAAATCATCCTCCATGACGGTGAAGATATTCACTTTTTGTTCAGAGAAAGAGGTGTTGTTAACTGTGTGGCCATGTTGGAGGCTGTGGTTTGTGCTGTACTGCATTATGCGTTTGTTATTTTGCTTGGCCTTATCGCTAACAGAGTTGGCAAAATAATATAAACACCAAGAGAGTATTTATTGCTGGACCGCTGTACATTAGAGTAGTAATAAACTGCCAGATGAGAATATGTACCATAACCACCTATCTCACAAGTCTCTGTGAAATGTGGGTGTGTGGTGTTCAGCTGAAAAAGTGTGTTATGATTAAAGCACAGCACCGTTTTTTTTGTTTGTTTGTTTTGCTAGATATACTGAATAAAATATCAATATTATCTACATGCTTGTTAGCAGTTGCAATTAAATTTGTCTGGAAAGTTAAAGTTGAAATGAAGTAACTATTTATTACTGGATGTTAGGAAATGTGATCCATAGGTCAGTGTTGCTTATTTAAATTTGAGCTTTTCGCACCATTTAAGGCAGTTTCAACCTACGAAAAGTCAAATTACTTCCAGGTTTTCGAAGTCGAGGCGAGGTCAAAGTCGACAGGTGCCTTAAAAACAACAGGAAGTAGATTATTGTTTAGGCTGCTTGTCAACAGGGGGCAGTAGCTGCAGCAGTGAGACCCAGCTCATGGAGGTAGGCGACTTCATCAGCACCTGATTGCAGAAATTGGGGTCATAACTCAGTCAAATGTGAACACAACTCTATGACACTTATGTTTTATATTCAGTGTGACATAGACTTTGTGAAGACATTATTAAATTCCAATAAATGTCCATATACACGCCTAAAAATCAGAGAAAATGAACGCTCTTTGTAACTCCAGAACTTGCCTGAAAATCATGTCGTTTGTAAGTTTTCTTCAATATCAGATTAACTGAGAGATCATTTACATTTTATCCGATAGTACATAGCAAACAGAAAACGCTAATGGCTAATTCGGCATATTAATTATGTAAACTGTAACCAAAGGCTGAGTCTTTATGTTAAGTTAGCGGTTAAACATGCTAACGTGTTTAGCTCATAGCTTAATGTTGCCAGTTAATTAGCCACAGGTGATGCTAGCACACCAGCTAACCGGGATGCGTTGTGGTGAGCAGCAATTAAAAGTATTTAGCCTTACTTTAAGCTTATGGGAGTCAATGTTATTTGGTTTAACCCAACTTTAACCCCATGTGCTTAATGGTGATACAGCTAGCGTTAATGGGAGTGATAAACTTTCTAATTTCGCCTTAGTATGTTCTAAACTGCCCCCAACCATAACATGTCATAAATGTTATTACATTACAAGGCAGTAGTTAGGCCTACCCATTCTATTCATATTTAAAAACTACTTATTGTGTCTTGAAGGCCGGCGTTTTTAACAAAACATTTAATTAAATTAATTTATGTGCCATTCTGGCCACAGGTGGCGGTTTTGCTAAACTGTTGTGCTGTTTTTAGGATAGACTGGTTATATCTTTGAGATACTTTTTCCGTCTGTGACATATTTCTTTGGGAAATCAGATTTAAGTCCCAGTTGTTGACATATAGTATGTGCTCTTCCCCTGTTTATATCTTGCAGGTAAAAATGAAGCCACATCAACTTCAAATGTGGAGGTGTTGATGTTGAAGCCAGCTGTTGGCAGAATGAGGACGCATACACTTTTAAAAATATGGTCAGTAAGCTTTTCATTCAGCTGTTAAAGGCGCATTAACTAAGATTTCCCATTTTGTCTGATAAGTCAAATGTCACCTCTTGCACAGGACAAAAAGCAAAAACCAGGGTTAACCTCAGTTTGGCTTTTTGAGATGGAGAGGGTTAAAAGCAACCAAAGGACTCAGATTTGGTTCAGATGTGATGTTCTTCCTTCTGGATGTGTTAGCATCTAAAGCACCAACCACATTGTCAAGTTTGCGGATGACACTGTTAGACCAAGTTCTTCAGTTGAAAGCATGAGTAGAGAAGACAGAAGAGAACTGTATAAAATCAACAGAAAATTTACTCAAAGTCTGGGCACATGTAAGGCAAAGCAGCGCTGGGCTCAGAGCAACAGAACTTCTGCAGGAACTCTGTCCTCAAAGAGCCCCGAACTATTATCTGTGAGCACATTTATCTACTTGGGTGGAGGCCGCCCCGTACAGAGGTTGGGCTTTACACGCATCCTAATACTATTGGCCCTTGGCATGAGCAGGCCAACCTCTGCCCACGCCAGCTTTACTGGAATGTGCTAGAAACTAGGTGTGTGAGTGTTGTCTCATCCCAGCCGCTTCACACTCGGCTGCAAACCACCCCAGTGCACGCTGGAGGTCCTGGTTTGATGGAGCCAACAGGACAACGTCATCTGCAAAAAGCAGAGACGAGATCCTGTGGTCCCCAAACCGGACTCCCTCCGGCCCCTGGCTGCACCTAGAAATTCTGTCCATAAAAAT